CACTTTGAAGACATTCAGAGACAGATTTACTATTGACTGTAGCAGTTTGCATTTCAATAAGAACCCGTGGGTTCACTTCGAAAGTCCCCAGTAAACTATTTAGCAATATTTTAATGAGCAGTTCTTTAGTCCAGAGTGGTTTTACGGTCACAACTGAACCTAAAAGAAACTGCCAACCTGGCTAAAACCAAAGGAAAACGTTTCAAGGTCAAACTCTGAGCGTGAAACCAGGACATCAGCGCACACCTCGTGAATGAGCAAACAGGATGTACCTGCACTGTAAGGAAGTGACTATTAAAGACATTCACACATTAGGACGCAGGTCAAATTCTTCTCCTAAATGGTGCCAAGAGGCCTGTAAAAAATGAGCTGTGGTCTGGTGGAGACAGGTGGAGGTATTGCTGGCAAGGCACTGAGGCACAGCGGACTCGCGTTTGACAACCTCTGCAGAAATCTCCACCCCATGGGTCTGATATCAGGATATTGGTTATATCTTCACAATTCAGATTGATGTCTACGCTACAAAACCTCACAGAAACACTCTTAATTGAATGATGACGGACTTCGCAGCTTGTCAGACACATATTGGCTTTTCACACTGCTGAAAGAAAGGTACACTGAAATAAAAATAATTTGAACTTAAATTTCACAATGAATTATAAAAAAAAAACAATTGTTTACAAGTAACATTGAATTAAAAGTGACATTTTTGATGCAGAAAAACTGAGATAGTCTTTTCTTATCCTTTTTCAGTAAATGTACTCCAATAATCTTTGCTTTGTTTACAACTTTGAAAAATCATTTTTTACAGTATATATACTCAAAATTCAAACCATGTGGTTTTCTTCTCCGTTATTTACTACTGTTTGGGGTCAGCAAGATTTTTTTTTTATTATTATTATTTCGGAAGACATTAATACTTTTATTCAGCAAAGATGCATTATTAAATTGATCAGAAGTGACAGTTAAGACATTTATAATGTTACAAAACATTTCTATTTTAAATAAATGTTCTTCTTTTTGAACTTTCTATTCATCAAAGGAACCTGGAAAAAATGTATCATGGTTTTTCCACAAAAATATCAACACTGAAAATAATAAGAAATGTTTTTTTAGTAGTAAATCAGCATATTAGAATGATTTCTGAAGGATCATGTGACACTGAAGACTAAAGTAATGCTGAAAATTCAGCTTTGCATCACAAGAATACATTACATTTTAAAATACATAAAAATAGAGAACAGTAGTTTTAAATTCTATAAATATTTCACAATATTACTGGTTTTGCTGTGTTTTTGACCAAATAAATGCAGACTTGGTGAGCAGAAGAGACTTTAAACATTAAATAATCTTACCAATCCCAAATTTTTGAACACTAATGTATAAATTAGAACATCATCAGAGTAATATTGGGTGAAATTAATCTGTATTTCTCAAAAAAAAAAAATTTTAATTATATTTGTAATCATTATTTATCATTACATTTATAATCACATTTCTCACTTTATTCATCATCATCTTGTTTTGTTTTTTTGTTCTCTTACTTTACAATTTGGGCAAAAGAAGCTACACTATTTCAGTCTTTAAACTTAAAACAAAAAAAAAATCACATTTAATTCAATGTGTTACTTATAATTTCTTTGTAATTATTTGTAAATTTACTAGTAATTTCTGAGTGAAAATTGTTCCAAGTAAATCCTACACCAATTTTCTTGGTCTATGCCTATGTTTTGGAACAAAGATAAAATAGGATACTTGTGGTTAGAGATGTGTCAGTCTGTGATGTCAATAGATTAGGGCTTCCTCATGTTACAATAACATGACCAGTCAGAATCCCTGTGTCTGTCAGTCAACTCAGGATCAATAAGACATTTAGAACCACACCACTTTGCTGATTCATCATCTTATGTGACTTTCCATGAATATTTCATGAGCTCACCGATATGGAATGGAAACAGGCTCCTCAGAAACGCCAGACATCAGTTTTTAAACTCATCTCAACATGCAGAGAATATAAAGCGTAACAGCAAACATCAGGCCACTGCAGCTACAGAAAAAACTTTCTCTTTGATAACATCTATTCCACCGTGAGCTGAGAGATGTGTTGAAACAGAAGGACTATTTTTATCCTAATCAGAAGCATGTGCACTGACAGGACAGTCAACACGCAGATGCTACACACAATCCGAGCCTCAGCAAAGATTTGCTCTCATCTAAACATGGCCAAGACGCAAGCGAGGATGACACTGCATAACAATGCAGTCTGTGAAGCAGAAAAACAAGTCTTTATCACAGCACCCGAAAAGCTGTCCAAAAATCTGCAGGGAAACATTACTGGAATCTTTGGAAGGTTTAAGGCAAGACATAACAGGTGAACAGGGTAAAAATTGTGCTAAAAGATATCACCATACTTCCCCAGTTGATTGATTAAGACTTGCAAGGACTTTTTGTATTACAAATGTTCTGAAATGTTATGTTTAAAGGGGTCATATGATGCCCATTTTCCACAAGTTGATATGATTCTTTAGGGTCTTCATGAAAAGTCTGTAACATAGTTTGGTTAAAATTTCTCAATGGTAGTGTAAAAACACCTTTTTTTACACTGTCAAAAACAGCTCTTTTCAGATCAAGCCGTTTTTGTAGCATTTCCTTTTAAATGTTAATGAGCTCTGCTGATTTTTTTTTATTCTATCCATCAACGTTATTGGATAGATAGTAATAGGTCTCGTGACTTTCGTCAAATCAAATTGTGCATAGAAAACATTAACCGCTAACTGTTTATCATGGCTGCTGGAAGCGCATTCTTCAAGCATCAATTCAGTTGCATGCATCTCTAACTTAATATGTTAAGGTAAATTTCGGATTTCTGCTTACTAAATGATTTGTATATATGCTTGCCTATCTACACGGCCTGAAATTTGGTGTGAGGTTTTGGGTATTGCGTACAGTGTTAACTCCTGCAAGTGCCACGTTCGGTAAATTCCCACTCACTTATGAGACGATCGCGATCTGCTCTGCCTCGTCTCTCTCTCGTGTGCGTTCTGCAGCAGTCACTTGGGTCAAGTCGTTGTTGCTTGTCGAACTTGTTGACTTTTGATGAGTTTGAGCGCGTGATGCGCGCTGTGAAAAAGTGTGTTGGAAACACAAATTGAGGACCAATCTGCACCTTATTGATGACCCGTGGCGTTAATATACTGCATCTGTGCCAGTTTCCCGGAGAAGTGTCACCTCTCTCGGTGTCTGTTCTGTGCAGTGAGCGGCAGAGAAGCAGCTCATTCAGTTGGCCGCACCGCAGCCGACTCGTCAATAAATGAGTACAAAACAGCGTTTCCTAGCACCTGTCGCTCACTGATTGTTTAGAATTATAAATATGAGCGTAGTTCGTCTGTTAATATCACAGGCACTTTTTTGTTTGTTGTTTTTTTTTATTTACTCTGACGCAGGCAGTGCGTTGCATGAGACAAAAAAGTAATATAGCCAAAACAACCACATAGCCGCTCTTTAGTGTAGATGGATGGAGGACTTATATTTTAGCTGGAAGCAATGGTTTAAAGTTAAAACACCTTAATGATGGATTTGTTTCTTACAAACACACACTTCACAAGACATTAACTGATGGACTGGAGTTGTGTGGATTACTTGTGAATTATTGTGATGTTTTTATCAGCTGTTTGGACTCTCATTCTGACGGCACCCATTCACTGCAGAGGATCCATTGGTGAGAAAGTGATATCATGCTAAATTTCTCCAAATCTCCATATACATCTCGGATGGCCTGTATGCGAATACATTTTCTGCAGGTTTTCATTTTTGGTGAACTATTCCTTTAAGAAAACTACTGCAGTCAGATGCTTAAATACTCTATTATGTGACCTACTGAAGGTGGTCAATAATGTAGATTAAACCAGGCGTAGACATCTGTGCCTCTAAAGGCTGCGTTAATGGGTCAGACATCAGCAAAACACTGCACACATCTGCCAATCTCCTATATAAATCTAAACAAATCCACACATCAATCAATGCACTGCATAAAGAAGGCCACTTCAGCACCAATGCATGAAAGTTAATAGTGTTTTCAGGGAAATACTTGCGATGCCGAAAGTTTCAGAAGATGCACTTAAATATAGTTCATTCAAATCCGAAATGCAGCATTCCGAAAGAACGCATCGCTGAAATGGATACTGGCACACCCACTCTGAGATGAGTTGACAGCCAACAGGCATTGTTTTGATGTATCATACAGTGCCTTTTGGTTTTTTAAATAACAGATTGTCAGCTCATCAGTCATGGAATGATGAAACCGACATTGCATTGACATACCCAGACCCTGACAACAACATGGAAACTCAAACAAACACACCTACAGCGCACTAATGATGACAGGTGCATGCCATCTCTGCATCGTCAAATAACCTTCAAAAGGCATGCATACTGCAAATGCAGGGGTCGGCGACAGTGCCCTGCACACTCACACACACACACGTCTACATGTCAGGCTGCACTACATCTGTCTGCAGCAGGCATGATGCACCATCCTGCAAAATGTAGGTGAAATGCCAGCAGTATTCCACAGACAATTCAAAATGTGCATGTTGGTGTAATTTATCATGTGCACAGGAAAGGTGCATGTCATTAATTTTACTCCATTGCATATAAAGCCCATCCCCCTCCACCAAAAAGAAAAAAAAATCAGGTTCAAAGCATAAAAATGTAATCCAAACCCAAAATACACATTTTATGAAAATGCATGATAAAAATAATAAAACGCCAATGCAAATTATGCATAAAAAGACAGCAGATGGTGAATACACCCACTTTACATACTGACACACTGAACTATTGAACATGCATGTATAATATTCCCACCATGATGGTGTATATGCAGACGAGCAAACATACAACATTGCATATACAGTTATTGACACAATTTCGTTTTTAAAACCCACATTATGTTTTAATATGTCGAAATAAAATATTAAATAAAAAAAGAAGGTTCTTACCCCGGAGCACACTGGTTTTATCCATGTACATCGCGCAGCAAAATACAAAACCAGTCATTAAAATACAGAACGGGGAGACACAATGGCCCCCCAGTTGCTCAAGGATGAAATAAAAATCAAATGGATACAATAACGCTAAATAAACGCAAACCCGGTAGCTCCTCCAGTCCACCGGCGAACAATCTAAGGCGCGAGGAGAGTCTGCGCTCCCACGCGCATCTCCAGCGCCTCGAGACCACGCGTTTACTACACAAACCCGACGCAAAAATCAAGCTAATGACTCCAAAACGACACTAAAACCAATATATTAGAGGTTTGTGCAGCGGTGGCCATGATGACACCGAAAATGCGGATACGATAAGGAAATAAAGTGCACCCTCGCGCACCCCCCCACCCCTCTCCGACTGCCCTGACACACACACACACACACACACACACACACACACACCCGGTCCCTCCTCAGCTCTGTTTCCTTGACAACAGTTTAGCTGGTTTAGTTTAGACTGTGTGTATATTATGATACCGCTAATATTGTCATTCAAATAAAAAATGTTACAATTATTTGTGTCCGTGAGTGTTTGCTGTATATTCTATACTATACAGGCCTAGAGTACTAGACTTCTGTTTCAAAAAGTGGGTTGGCAACGAACGCTATGGTATTTTGACGTATTCCACAGTTACATTTACATCACACATTCATTTGGTCAATTCTTTTATCCAAGGCATCTCGCAGTTAATTTAAGGAATATAATTTAATATGTTTTAGGATGCATAATGTATATGGGATGCATTAATATGTGTTCTCTGCGAATTAATCTCATGGCCTTGGTATTTGCTAGAGTCAGCCTTATAAAAAATACTATGGCAATACAGTGATGATATCAGATGGTAATATTAAAATTCATGTACTCCAGGTACAGGTATTTTCCAAAACAACTGTTGTATTATTGTAGTATATGTCTAGTATATATAAATAAATCTATACAAATATATTTAAAGAAATATAACAAAAACATACAACATAAAAAATATGTATATGTACAGTATGTACATGCATATATATATATAAACATTTATGCAGCTGTGTTACTGCACTTCAATCTACTCTAAAATAATAGGTTGATGTGATTTTCATTAAGATGGCGTAATGGAACTGATGCATTAGAAATGCACTCACTTAAAAAGGTTATGACACATCGAGGGCCTGTGACTCATGGAATAACCATCTTATACTTAAATGGCAGGCGCGGTGCCGTGTAATTAGGCTCACAACTGATCATACACGTGACCCGATCTGTCATCATCTACATGTACTGACTTTAACCAGAGAATGAATGAGGAGGAAACTCAAGCTTAAAAAGCCTAGGAAAATGAATTAAAGAAACCATAACACTAAAACATGGGAGCTGAAGGAAAGGAAGTCTCACCTTTTAGTCTAAAGAGCCAATCACCTATTTTAACTCTGAAACATGCGTGTGCATTAGTTTAACCCACATGTGTCAAACTCAAGGCCCGTGGGCCTATTCCGGCTTGTCACATCATTTTATGTGGCCCGCGAGAGCATATGATTGTCTTCAAATAAAAATCTATGCATAGTACATTACATGTGTGTGCTCAAAAATTATCTTCTCTCCTGAGTTTAGTAAACGCAACCTGGAGTGTGGGCATCCACCGGCAGAAACATAAATTGGTGCATATATGCCAACGAATGTAAATCAGTATTTACATAGCATAACAGTAATAAATGTATCTGTTTCGCACATGTCCCGCATTGTCCCGTAAAATCACATCTACTGTCCTGCAACACATCTATAGCCAGGTGGTCACCCTAGAGTAGAGTAATAAAATAATAATTACTACGAAAATTATTTAAAAGAAGCAGGTTTTTTGCAATCAGACCAACCGGTAAACTCCTGGAAAGTCTAAGGATCCAGTAAGTGAATGCATTCAAACAGTAAATTCAAAACAGCGCTAATGCAGAGAAAACACGGCCGATGTCATGGCGGAGATAATAGTACTCACGTACAGATGTCTGATGATTTGGCTTAAAAGCATGAGTGTTTTATACTGGATGCTGGCTGAAGGTGTTTTAGATTACGCAGTAGTCAGTGGTTTAGTAAATCTGGATCAGTCAGGTCAAGGTAGCTCGTTTAGTGGTCTTTTGGCGTCCCCCTGTGTTCCTGTTTGGTATCGCAGATTGACTTGTGCAATTTTTTTTATTAAACGTGCTGTAAACTACTAAATGTAATGTAGAAATGTTCATTTTCTGTGAAGCTGCTTCGCAACAGTGTATCATGAAAAGTGCTATACAAATAAATGTGAATTGAATTGCAAACAATTATTTATAAATTTATTTAGTTATTGTGGCACTACATACATTCATCGCGAATTATGAAAATTAAAAAGTATTTATTTTTGGGTGGGGGAGTGGGGTTGAGTACCACCACTTCTTTTTTTCTACTGCAAGCATTGATTGCGTCATATGCATGCCAAACACATGCGTATCATATGCACGCTAAAGTCAATTTCTGCGTATTAATCGCATGCCAAATAGAAACAGAAAATCGTGCTATTGATACGCATTTTCATGAGACCGGGCTCATTTGTTTTGTTAAATGCCATATCTGTCACACGTTCTTAGCAGCTCACACTTATTTGTTGTGCCATAAATGTAACAAAAAAGTTTTTAACAAATTTAATGTAATGACTTGTGTTTGATGATACTTGTCTTTATTTACTTTGATTTATGAAGTAATTTGGATTTCTTAACCTGATAAATTAAATGGATTTATGTTAAAATAACACAGAGCAATTGCATATATTTTTACATCTATGCAAATGCATGCAATATTTGCAACTTAACTAAGTAATAATAAAATAAAGAGAGAGTTATTTAACAATATGTTAAGGAGTAGTAACATTTGTACAGTCTTAAGACCCGTTCACACCAAGCACGATAACTATAAAGATAACGATACTAGCGTCCACACCAGCGAACGATATCGTCTGTTTATTCTAAGCGCACATGCGTCTGCCGCTTTAAATTCTTGAGCTCGTTACAGCAGGATGGATTCTGATTGGCTGTCAGTGTTTTATCGTTCATCAGCTGGAAAAAAATCGTTTTGAAAAATCACAACGATATCTTTCCTCTGTATCGTTATCGTTATAGTTGTGGTGTGAACTATGCTATTCTTTAATATTGAGAAAGATTTTTAGAACTATATATTTATCGTTATCTTTATAGTTATCGTGCTTGGTGTGAACGGGCCTTTACAGTTACAACCGGCCCTTTGATGGCAGCCATAATGTTGAATTGGCCCTCAGTGAAAATGAGTCTTAATAAAATAGATTTGAATGTGATTTAAAGCTAAATTTATGATACCATCATTTCTAGATATTACTGTAATCTTAAAAACAGTATCTGGAGATTTCAGTCCTTTACCCTTCAAGTGGATAGGAGCTGTACTATATGCCTATTACCAACTTAAAAAATAACTGCCATTTCCAAGATGGCCTCTGTCTGTAAAAAGACTTTGCTTCAACAAATAATGTAATATTTGTATTTTACATAATATAATGAGAGAGGAATATTTTCTAGTACCATAAAGTTCCCTCAAAATACAAAATATATTAAAAAAAATATTATTTAAAGAAAATACAGGACATTAATATCTGCATTTCACTGCATTAGACAAAGTATTTAAAAATTAAAATAAGGCAGTTTCCCTTTATGTAAATGTTTCATTAATGTTACAATTATTCAAAATCATTTTTATTTACTTCGAACATCTCTTTTATGATATGAAACTTAAACTTTCTGTTAAATGTTTTGTTTAAAAAGTGTGCTTGCACTATATTTCTTTCAAATAATATTCATATTTTGTTATATTATAGATGTATAATGGCTAAAGTCTTAAGGGAGCTTAAGGCTTTGTGAAATCTTGGCCGCCGTACATCCAGTAAAGTAAATAAGTGCAATGACTTAGCAAATGCTTCTGGTGTTGACATAAACCACCGCAAATCATCCATCCAGATGGGTTTCAAGCCGGATTAATGTCGCATTTTTACGACATCGAGTAGAGCCTGAGAACACAATAATGAAGTCTAACACAGAATATAAAAGTGTGTCACACCAATTTCTCTTCAGCGATGACATCGGGTAAAGAAATGGGCCTGTCTGATCTCTGAGGTCACACAATTTACACCCAGCTTCCCTCCAGACAAGACACATCATGCTATAGCATGTCTCTAGGATAATTTGTGATGGTGTATGTCTCTGTTGTCAAATGTCTGAATAATCCTCTCGCACAGAGAATGACTTGAGATTACGTGGCATGGGTTTGCCCTATCTCTCCTTCTGTTTCTTTTATTTTCCTCACCCCTGCTGGGTCGGCAGTGCTGTTGCTCTCTCAGACCCTGGCTGGCACAGGTTGTAGGCTTTAAATGGAGAGATTTACCCCCCTGATTTCCCTAGAGAGAAGGCCATCTGCCTACTGTCACCCAGCCCATTATTGTGACTTCGACACAGAGCGCATGCTCACCGACGGCTTCACAAGTCTAAATGCCACAGGCCAGTGACTCACGTGTGCGCAAACAGCATTCATATTCAGAAGTTTATTAAAAGCGTGCGCTAATTTCCACATGCATTAAATATGCATTGTAAAACGTAATCATCTGCAGTAAAATACAAAACTAGATTTATATTTTCTAAATAAATAAATAATATATAAATAATAAATAAATAATCAAACAAAATAAATGTGAGTGGCCCTTGGGAAAAAAGTAAATACAAATGTAAACATAAATACAAACAAACAAACAAACAAAATAAATAAATAACTAAATAAAGGCCATTACAAAAACAAATGGAAAAACACAAATATAAATACATAAAAATAAATACACGTAAGTTACCTGTGAAAAAAAACAAGTATAAAAAAAAAAAAACTAAATAAATGAACGAATAAATGAAATGCCCTTGCAAAAAAGAAAAAAATTATAATAAAAAAAACAATGAGTGGCCCTTGCAAAAACTTGCAATTTTTTTAAACAATAAATAAATAAATAAGGCCCTTAAATAATAAATAAAAACATGTGCATAAATAAAAATAAGCAAACAAACAAACAAACAACCAAACAAATAAATAAATATGAGTGGCCCTTCCAAAAAGCCACATAAATTACAAATATATATATAACTATATATCTATACAC